ATTTTTTTTCTAATAAGAAAAATATTGGGCAGTGTGAAAAAGGAAAAGGAAAGTGAGAGAATTGTGAATTGTAATACAGGTATTGGTGGGCTCCACCTTTATTAAAGAGGTGGTACCAATGTATATATAAATGTGGTAAACTTAGCATTATCCTTTTTCATTTTTAGTTAAAAGATAAAAGAAGAATGTATGTAAGAAATGTAGTAAGCAAGAAAGAGGTAGGGAGGAGTGAGGAATATGAAAGAAATGAAAGAAGAATGTATAAAATAAAAAGCGGGAAAGAGGTAGGGATGAGTGAGGAATATGAGAGAAATGAAAGAAGAATGTATGAAATAAAAACTTGACAACGGAAGTTGGGATTGTTTTTAGTTTTTAGTCTTTGGTTTCCACTTTAGGTGCCATTTCATAAAGATTTTATCCTCATCTTCCTCTTGCATTTTTTTTTCCACTCCTTTTATGCGAAATAAAATAAAAGTATCCTCCTACAAAAAGTTTCAAAGGGATGAGAGAGAAAAGCGTATAATGGACAATAATTTTTTTTTTTTTTTTTTTTTTTTTTCTCTTCACTCACTTTTACATCTTAAATAGATATTTTTTTTCGTTATTGGACCATATTTTCAGGGCAGTCCCAAGTGATTGTTTTGACCCGAAAGTGATGAAATAGTAAGAGCATCTCCAATAACCTCTTCAACAACTTTGGAATGCTAAAATAGATTAGCCACATCATCAAAACTATCTCCAATAGCCTTGGATTGCTAAAATAAGTTAGCCACATCATCAAAACCTACCTTGAAAATGTTAAAAACATGCACTTTTTCTTTGATAGTTTTACTAAAACATCCAAAATAGGGGCTGAAATTATAAAAAAACCCAACACCCAAAACACTTTATAAACACACCAAAAACCCATCATTACACACACTCAAAACTCATTTATAAACACACCCAAAAAATATACAATTGTTGATTTTGGGTGTGTTTCTATGTTTAAATAGTGTTTGAGTTTTTTTTATAAATACATGTCTAGGATTGGATTTATTTATAAATTTGTTCTTTTCAGATAATAAATACATAGACATTCTTGACATGGTTTTGTATTTTTCATTATTTTTCATAACATTACATTAATTTCATTGAAGAGTCTATTGGGGCATAGATTATTAAAGTAGCAAATAAACCTTTTCAAATTGCCAACATAGATCAACAAAATTTAATCTAAAGAGCTTAATGTACTTGATTGCAACAAAAGTTTATTGATAAAATTGAAATTACATAGAGCCAACCAAATATAGACAAAGTATGTCATTTCACCAAAGAAAAGAAAAAGACCGAGGAAAAGAACGATTTTATTCTTTTCTCCCTCTCCTATTTCTTTAAAATTTGAAAATCAAAATAATAGTTCATTTCTTTTCTGGTCCCCTTCCCTTTACAATCATGAAAAGGTATCATTGGATTTCTGCTTTATTTTTTGAGTGTGACAAAAGATATATGATCATACATAGTGCTATAAATTCTTTAAAATTTGAAAATCAAGTGTATAACAAGCACCCAAGTTTGTTTGAGAAAAAGAAAGAATCAAAACATTAAGGGCATTTACAATCCTTTAGAACAATGACATTTTGATTCATAGCCACTATGGTGCATATCAACTCTTCATCTGTATTCCTCTGATGACCTGACCAAAGGAGATCTGAAATGCATTAGTCTGAATGGGTTATTGCAATAGATTTGGATGAAAGAAATTGGCTGCATCATCCTCTCGGGACGATCAAACCAAATTTTGGCCAGTCCACAATAAATACACAACAGCGTAAAGCGAGCAGCAAAATCTGCAAAATATAAAAAAAAAAAAAAAAAAAAAAAAAAAAAAAAAAATTGCTTCATCAAAGAAAAAAAAATTTTATGGTTGATAGTAATCGGAGGAACTAACCTTCTTATAGAGAAGTAATTAAGAAGCACACATGTTACTTCTTCAAAGCTTGTTTTCTCATAGTTTAGACATGCTGCATGAACTAGAGAAAAGAAAGAATGGTTTTTGAAGGCACTTCATTGGATGACTGGTGCACAATTAAGGATATAATGCCAATTACTAAGAGACATTCAGGATTCCACATGCCTGCAGCTGTACTGGTAATAATAGTACAGTACCGATAAGCATAAGACCATTTCAGCACTCTCCTACACATTTGTCAACATTCATGGCAATTCAAATCTAATTTGATGTTATAGCTACTTTGTGCACTAGAATAATTCCTTTCATATCTTTCAAAGAAAATAAATCTTTCTATATCTAACCAAAAAGATAGTAGTTCACCTGCTGCCAGGCATCAGTAATGAACTTGAGCTGAGACTCGGGTCTGCACTGTACGTCGCTAAGCTCCTCCATCTGAGAAAAACACAGCCAGGATATCAATAAAGTAAATACAAATTTATAAATAAACCCAATCCTACATAGGGTAATTACGATAGGGTAATTACGAGTTCTTAAAAATACATGAATAAACAAAAGAAACCCACGAGGGTTTGGGGATTAGCATAGGGATTTCAAAAATGATGCCTTGCTGACTTCTTATAAACACCGGTAACGCCATACTTGTTACTAAACAAGATTTTTTGTGAGGGCAATTTTTTAATTGACTCTGTCAAGGCTATCAGTTCGAATGAAGGGGTTCCCGTACAACCACAACTACACCTCTAAATTCTGAAATCTGAAGGTGTAAAGTTAAAACACATTAAATCTCATCTTTGTGTTGTTAACACTAAACTTTATTTGTACCCTTGCGTCTATGAATAAAATAAGTAGAACCTTCCATAAACTATAATATTCCAAATCTGCAAAAGTTTTAAGTATGGGTCTAGTTCTGCAATAAGGTAGAAAGATAAGTACTAAGATCATTTATGTTTTGAACACATTTGTTACCAGCTACTCCATTGTAGAATGAAGATAGCGAACACATGAACCCATGTCTGTATGTATCAATAATATATATGTATGTGCGCATGTAGAAATTTTACAGATACTTACATTCACAGTTCGCATTTGGTGCAAATCCGCAAGAGCTTTTTTCCTCGACTGCCAAGGAAGAACAAAAAGATTTTAGTGAATAATTAGAGGAGAATAGGACCTTTATATCGCTCCATCAAAAACAACATTAAGGCTTAGACAATTAAATCCATAAAACAGAAGTCCAATGCATAGACAATCTTGATTACAAATTCAAGAGGCTTCCAGATGCAAAACTGAAATCACGCACAGATGTATACCAGCCTACTACTGTTTGCACAACATATTCTAGAAAAATTGTAATAAAACTCCAGCCAATATTGAAATAAATTGTCAAGAACTACGCTTTCAGAAAACGAGGATCTTCATTGATCATTGCCCAGATATAAAGACATGATTGAAAAAGAGTTCACTGAAAGAAAAAAAAAACTTAGCCAGGGTGTACTATAACAATATGAAAGAAATGCATGAATTCAAAGCAGAGAGGAGAATTTGAAAAGGGAATTGTGAATACCAGCTGATTGCTTGCCCAACATTCAAATCAGAAGAACAAGAAGAAAAAGAAAGAAAGCTCTTTTTAATTACACATTTTCTTGTTTTGGAACTCTGTCATTTTCTTTATTAAGTAATGAAAACGAAAAAAAGTTCATTTATTAGGTTACCTGGTGCATTGAGATGAAGACAATAGAAATTCCTAAAACAAAGTTCACAGTCAATTTATGACCAAACAGCAAAGCAGATGCCATGCCTATGAAGATAGCAATCTCTATATTACAGCAAACGTGTCCATACACAAATTGGCATGACACTTACACCTGAAGTTGCAATTGCAGAAAACCAACAAGCATATTTGAAGAAAAAAGAGGACAGAATTGCTTGTGCTGTATTGTTTAGCTATCAGAAACATTGTAGCTCTTGAATGACCATGAAGGATATCAAAGCTACTTGGACCTGAAACGTTCATTCAACATGAGGTTAGACTCGAAACACCCATTTATAATGATAAATTTCCCAAGTTTCCACCATAAAATACTACAGTGCAAAAGCGCAATGAAGAAGTTTATCTGTGAAATGGCCCTCTTATACCATTCAACTATATTAAACAATAATTATATTCCAAAACTATATTGATCGGGAAAATACAACTAACAATATGACTTCCTTGAATAAGTACAAATGCTACTAGAGTCAATAAATTTGAATCTGACCATTGAATATTGCTTCAGTTAGTTCTCTGGAGGTAACAGTAGCATTTTTTGTTCTTTGTGAGGAAAGGAATGTATAGTGAACTGGAGTCTAATCTTAATGTTCTGTAATTAGGGTTTAAATGCATACTGTCCCCCTGGAAGGAAATTTGTAGAATACAAACCCCCAAAGTGGTGGCATTTGTTGAGAAGACTTAGTGGATAATTTTATTCGGAGAGCAAGGGCGTTTGTAAATAGATGATATATGTGTAAGGAAGCATACAAAAGCGAAGTTCATCTTTTTCTCAGAAGAGGCCTTTAGATTGGAAAAGGTGAGGAGTTGTCTTCTCTGTTTGGGGTTCATTGTTTCTTCCAGGTGCCAAGATCAGTTACTGCTTTGATCTCAGGATGACACAGCAAACTTTTGAAAGCATCTAATAAAGAGATTTCAGGAATAGATCCTTTAGTTTTTCCTTTAGAACTTGTGGTTAAATAGAAAATTAAAACAAACAGCTACCAAAGCCAGTGGACCATCTTAAATAGCTGAAGGATTATGTTTAAAGGTGGCATTCTGAGCTATGAACCTCCTTTTCATTGCTTTTCGATTTTATACTTGCTTTATGCTCTCAAATTGTTGTGTACTACTTCTGTACATGGGACTTTCTTTCATACTGTTTTTATTCATCAAAATAAGTAAATAAACTGCAAGAACAATTAAACATAGTGTAGTTCATACCAATATTCCTAGAAAGTTTAATAAATTCTGCACAGCCAAAAGAAGACTTAAAATGAAGAAGATAAATTGATGACTTATATTTCTCAGTTTTCAATAGCTGTCCAAAAATGAATTTAACAAAGTATATACTATGGGAAACTTGAGATAAAAGCTGCTACGATATGTTTATGAAGCTCTAGGTTCACACTGAGGCATTTGATCTTAGATGAGGTCATGCATCCAACCAAAACGAGTGGAAAAGGGTATGTCCTTCCACCTTATCGCCGACATCTCGGTGATAGTGTCCAGCTTGTCAATAAGCTTCAACATCAGTGAAATACCCATAGAAATTCTTGATATAACCTAAGCTACCTATGGGCATTTGCAAATTCCAGCCCAAGCCCGACGATATGCATAAACCACCTATTAAATTTAGAGAAACAGAATAGATAGCTCCACCCAAAATAAAATCATAAAACCGTAATCAAGATCCAAATTGGTACTAGATCACTGACTGCAAGAACAGAAGCAAATGGCCATTTGCTACCTTTAGAAAACCAATTCCTCAACATCCTTTAATAATAAAACCAGTTACTTTCATGAGCAAATTATAAAATCCTACATCTCACCTGAAGGTATATACTTGTGTCATATAGGCTCTTTAGAGAATACTCATTGTAAACAGAGGCCAAGAATGGAACTGTTACATATAAAATGTGTATACACAGATCAATGTGTATACATATGCGCTTGTTGAAACTGGAAGAACTAAAGCAGTGGAACCCTCCTGTAAAGATCGCAACTGATTTATGCTAATCCTGATGAGAAACAAAGCAAGGGCTTCCTACTGTATCAAAGTAATATCAGTTTGATACCATATAACAAAGCATAGCATCAAAAAGATTATGTTCAAATAAGTTCATCCAAAGTTCTACAATTGACTACTCCCCCTCCCTAGTAGGAACCAGAAAAGAACAACATGTACAAGGAGTAAGAGTTCCTTCTTTTTCTGGCTCAATGCATAGACTGTGAAAAAGGGAATGGCTCAAGAATAGTTATGTACAGTTGTGTTTGTTACTTATGAGGCAAAGAATCCCATTTTGTTTTCATAACCAAAGATTAATAAATACCCATTTATACAACACTCATAAACAAAAACAGAGAGCACTGCCATTGGTTATGTTGATTTGGCCACAACAAAAATTATAAATTTCATGCAGAAAAGATCATTCATAATCGAAATAAGCCTCTGGACGAAGAATACATGTCTAGACTGGTAAAGGCAAATGGTAAATACCAAATTATAATTACCCATCATTTATACGTATGAAGTAAACTCGAATGTTTTTGTACTTGTGAGATGTACTTACCCCTGAAAAATGGTAGTTGGTAACGAAAAAATAACAGAAGGGAAGCATTGCAAATATTCACTGTAGATTTTTCATTGCCCCTCTACTACCAAAGAAACAATGTTTTTTTGGTATTTTCTCATAGAATAGAACCCAATTCAGTACAAGTCAATAACATGATTTTAATAAAAAGTACAATAGAAAGCAACTAGTCAGAAAGAACCCCAGAACCTGAACATACTACACTTGGAAAATTAAAACATGTCCAAATAATTCAAAAAGCTCACTTTTAGTAGTTGTGTGGGGTCAGGTCAACTCTCTCTCTCTCTCATAGATGATATCACCACCCAAATCATAAGTACACTTCTTATGTTAGTTTCATCCATGACATTAATCTGACCTCTTCAATCATTGTAATTGATAAGGATTGTTGGGATTATAATTCAACAGATCATTTAGCACTCCCTCGGTATCTTCACATAAAAAGCATTGAAGAACCTCATTTTCATCTTGCCTAATTTCCACCCACACGCCTGCAACATCATCATTTATTGGGAATGGCCCTTCATTATCTCTAAATTCTTCTTGTATCGCAAATACAATTCATTTGCTCCACCTTCCAATGTAATCCGATATACATGATATTGGACATTGAACCAATTCGATTCGCCCACACAATGTTTAGTTTTCAAAATATAATCCCAGCAACAAAATAAAAATGAATTCAATTTAAAAATCGATATAACAAAAAACTTGGATAAAGTAAGCGAATCAATCATTCAACTTACTTGACAAGCGATTCATGCATTCTACTAGTCACAAACTCACCAAGCACACAAACGGATGATGGAATAGCAAGCAATAGTGCACAGCTGTCATCTTGATGGAATTTATATCTTTCTAGGTAGGTATTCAACACCCTCCTACCTTCTGTAGTATATCCATTTTCAATAATAAAATATAAATCAATCCCACCCCAAGATAGATAATCAAATAATGAAGCATGGATAAGAGCATCTTGACAGAAGTTCTTGACTTTTTCACGGGGCATGTCAGGTGCATACGGAGTTTGGTCCAAAAATCGAGCATAAGGAGCTCCGGAACCAATTGCCACAAATTTATCAATTCTTTTAACTCCGTCACTATCAACTTTGTCAATTTCTGCTACTCATTGAACTTTATAAATTTCTGGCACCTTTCCACTATAGCTGACAGTAAGAGTAGCAACATTGCAAATTTGTTTATGTTCCAGAAACTTGTATGTTTCATTGGCAAGCGATGCAGGTGTATGTAAAGTATTAGCTACCATTCGACGAATTTCAATGATGAAATAATTAATAGTTGTCGCTTTCCGTCCACATTTTGTCACAAATAGCGAGTCACTCATCTGGACAATTTTCAGGTTGTAGTCGTCATGTTCCGAGCTCAAAATACTTCCACATTGAGTATCCGATCCCAGAAATATTCCATCTTTAATTTGTAGGAATCTTAAGATTTGGATGCTAATGTTGCACTTTTTTATAAAGATGGAATACTTCTGTGGTTGGATACTCGATGTGGAAGTATTTTGAGCTCGGAACATAACGACTACAACCTGAAAATTGTCCGACTGAGTGACTCGCTATTTTGTGACAAAATGTGGACGGAAAGTGACAGCTATTAATTATTTTATCATTGAAATTCGTCGAATGACAGCTAATACTTTACATACACCTGCATCGCTTGCCAATGAAACATACAAGTTTCTGAAACACAAACAAATTTGCAATGTTGCTACTCTTACTGTCAGCTATAGTGGAAAGGTGTCAGAAATTTATAAAGTTCAATGGGTAGCAGAAATTGACAGGCTTGATAGTGACGGAGTTAAAAGAATTGATAAATTTGTGGCAATTGATTCCGGAGCTCCTTATGCTCGTGGATTTTTGGACCAGACTCCGTATGAACCTGGCATGCCCCGTGAAAGAGTCAAAAACTTCTGTCAAGATGCTCTTATCCATGCTTCACTATTTGATTATCTATCTTGGGGTGAGATTGATCTATATTTTATTACTGAAAATGGATATACTACAGAAATTAGGAGGGTGTTGAATACCTAACTAGAAAGATATAAATTCCATCAAGATGACAACAGCTGTGCACTATTGCTTGCTATTCCATCATCCGTTTGTTGCTACTCTTATGAACTTTACATCAAGGAAATGCTTTGCTTTCCTAAAAGAAAAATATCAAAGGAATTCATCAAGGATATGCCTATATAACCTATATGCTACACAAAGCCATTCAGGCTTAAGCTAAATGGAAACGTACATTTTAACTGGGCAAGATGCATAGAAACAGATTAACATCAAGGAATTCAAGAATATGCTTTCCAAAAAGAAAAACATCAAGGATTAACTGGGCAAGATGTGCTTTCCAAAATATA